AGATTCTGAGGTTGTCATACCTGACTCAAATTTTTAACTGATGCTGCTAGACCCATTGAATTTTTTCAGCATTTATGTTTTTATCTTAGTCTTCCAAAATTTGCAGTATTTTACTATTATTTTATAATCAGTGTGCGAACTTATTTATTTCTGTTATGAATATTAACCTTTTCAGGATGTGATTTTGATGTTCAGTTTTTTGTGAATTTATCACATTTTTTGATTTATCCTGACTTCACCTGTTATAATTAAGAGGCCTCTCGTTCCATAAGTAGTGTCGAGCACATTTTACTTTTGTATTTACAAATTCAATACATGAACAACAATATCAAAAGTCAAATTGGAAGAATCTCCCTGATACCTATTTGTGTCCATCATGATGAAAATGAAGCATAACAATTCTGGTTAGTCCTCCTACCTAAAGAGATTTACTTAGTAGTTCATACATAAAGATGGTGTTGCTTTAAATATAGTGTAAAATATACACTATTTTTAAGGCATAACCTTCTATGTTTCTTCATAGCTTTATTTTTCACAAGTTCAAACATGTTTTCTGTACAGACAAAAGGCACGAATGAAAAAATATTTCTGCTCCATTTGTAATTTCACTTGTAAACTTGACAGAAAATCTACTAATCCATGTTGATCAATTCAGTAATAATTCAGTTACTGAAATGGTTACATTGTAGGAGATACACCAGCTGGTGCACTTAGCTTGTCCATTACATCTACATTAACTTACAGTTATTAGATACTGAGCAACAGATTTTTAAAACAGTAATGAGTCTAATAGTAATGAGTGGTTCAATGGCTAGCACTGCTGCCTGACAGTGCCAGGGACCCAGTTTTGATTCCATCTTTGGACCACTGTCTGTGTGGTTTACATATTCTCCCCGTGCCTGTGTGGGTTTCCTCTGGGTGCTCTGGCATCCTCCAATAGTCCACCACATGCAGGTTATGTGGATTAGCAACAGGGAAGGCAGGGTTACAGGGATAAGGTAGGGATGTGGGTAGGATGTTCTTCGGAGGGTCAACATGGACTCAATATTCAAATGGCTTGCTCGCACACTGTAGGGATTCTATGAATTACTGTTTTTTTCCTGTGATAGTTTCCGGGAAAAAAATTACATTTATAGTGTCTGCATAATTTAGTTCACTTACTGATCAAAGCTTGTTTAGTCCTGTTTCTTCTACACATATCCAGCTTCATCTAACCCCTTATGTGCAACTTTAATTTCCTACTGTAATTGTAACCAACATGATAAGACAAGCCACACTTCAAATTAATCTGCTGTTAAAACAAAGAGCAATTTAAATTTTCACATTAATGCAGGGACCAGGGCAACTTGGTGCATTGAAGATGCTAAATATATCTACAGGCAAAATCTATAAAACAAGCGATTAAAAGTTACATTAACAGTCATAAAATTTGATGAACTCAGAGAAAGAAGAAAATCACGCCCTAATAATTTTTCAATGTACCAGTGTGGGTGCAGAATAATTTTTGAATAATTAATCAGCCTGCAGGGTTAAATTTTACATTTTCTATTGTTCGGATAATTTAATCTTTGCAATGTATAGTAAAGCAGAAGTGCAGAGAGTTATGCTGTGATTATTCAGCATTCTCTTCTAGGAAGTGTAGTTGAGTATCGTGGAGTTTATTGGTTGAAGGCAAGATCAACTGTGATTAGAAGCACATTGTTTGCTGGCTTTAATTGTCCAAATTTATACTTGGGTAAATTATCAGACAACACATAACTTTTCTCAAAATTAGGCACACTCATTTAAAACTATTTCATAGATTGGAGGCAAACTTCCTCACTGTTTTGGCACTGTTATTATACCAGTGGCTAAAAACATGCAACAACCTGCAGTAATTACATGATGGGGAGCTTCATCAGTTCATGTCCTTTGCAGTAGTGTTTGATGTAAATACTATGTGAAAATAGATAATTTATTAGATTGCATCATTGAGAGTTCACACTTAAATGAATCATTATAGCTGAAATTGCAGCAGTGGAATGGTGAACAACAGGTAGAGAAGGAGCAGTGCCTGGCTCAATTGCTGAACATTCAGGCAATATACTCATCATTTTATTTTTAATGTTTTTCAACAAGTATATAGTAGGAAACCCACTGGGCAAATATAAAATGGCAAAACGGGATGGGTCCAGGCATAGAAAGAAAGAACTCAATGTCAAAGATTTGGTGTTTCAAACACTCCTGGCAGAAATAAAACTATGAAGACACCGGCCACTTACTGTGAGCACCAGGAGAGCTACTAGGTGTCTCATTGCTTCCAGCTGTCGGGAGATGGTATTTGCACCGAGTCCCATTTATCTACTGTGAGACTGTAGACCAATACCGTGACGAGATAATAGCCACACCAGGACAGGCGAGGTAGCAGAGTGGACATTATCCCTTTTCTTCCTTGCCTGTTCTGTGAGTCAGCACAATCATGAGCTTCTTGTACTACTCTTCTACTATTATTTCTTCTCATTCTAGTCTCGACTTTTTCAATGTTTTCTTGACTGGCTTCCTTCATTCCGCCTTCAATAAAACTAAAGTCGTCCAAACCTTTGCTGCCTGTGTCCTAACTCACTTTAAGATCTGTTTGTCCAACACTCCTGTCTGTGCTAATCTACATTTGCTCCCAGTTAAGCAACACCTCAATTTTAAAATTGTCATCCTTGTTTTCAAATCCTTCCTTGGTTTCCCACCATATGTCTATAATCTCTTACAATTCGCCAATCTTCTGCCCTATCTGTACCACTCCAAATCTGGATGCTTCAGCATACCCAATTTTAGTCGCTCCACCATTGGTGGGTGTGCCCTGAACTATCAAGCTTTGAAATTCTTTTCCTAACCCGCTCTGCCTCTTGATCTCACAGGCTTAAAAAGCTGAATGGTCTACCTCTGCTCCTATTTTCTACATTTCTTCTATAAGACGCTTCGTAAAAACTACCTCTTTGATGAACTTCATGATTATCTGTCCTAGTTTCTCCTCATGTGGCTTTGTTCAAATTTTGTTTGATAGTCCTGCTGTTAAGTGCATTGGGATGTTTTATGACGTTCAAGTACATTGTTCTGTTATTTGTAAAGAACTTAGAACTAAGATGTGACCTAGTTAATTGCTGCACTGTGATCATGTGCCACATCGGTTTATCAGTCCACCAGCCACATGGAGTAATACAAAAAATACACTCAGCATTTTCAGTATATGATTATTTCTAACTTTGTAAGCTAGGAGATAAAACATGGTGGAGTTACCCGTCAGAGATATGGGTTACCCCTGGATGATGACACCACCTCCTTTAAATACTAACCCCTGTATTCCCACCTTTGCAGCCTTCCTTATGTGGCCCCAGTGAACTCACCCCATTGACCTTACTCCTGGTGCTCCATTGTGATTGACTACCTAGGCCTCCTCTAGTACTAGCAATGGGGAGCTTCCTACTCTGATTGGCTGGCAGTTCACAGGGATGATGTAGGTACTGCATGTTCGATAACTTAATACCCAATTTATTCCATCAGGACTTCCAGAAATCATGTTGGCAGGCGTGTCAACAGTTTTGCTTCAGAGCTTGGGATCCTAATGCCTGTGGAAAATTCTGCCCATTAACTCACTGTCTGATCTGCTGAATAGTTCCAGCATGTTGCGTTTTTATTTCATACATCCGGCACCTGCAGTACTTTGCTTTTAAAAAGTATTAAATGCTCCTCGTGTTAAATTGGGACTGTGGAACTTAGGATTCAGGAGTACGATTAGAACATTCAAGCCTACTCTGCTGCTCAGTAGGATCATGGCTAATCTGGTTGTGTCTCAAACCCCATTCTCCTGTCTGTCCTCCTCCGTTGCCGCTGATTCCCTCGTCTATCAAAAATTTATCCATTTCTGCCCTGAATAAATTTAATGACATGATCTCCACAATTTTCTGGGTGGAGAGAACTCCACAGATCAACAAGTCTCCAAGAGAAAAATAAAATCTCCACACTTCCATCTCAGGTGAATCTCTTAATTCTCTGTGTGTCTAGTTCTAGTCTCCCTCCAAGAAAACATAAGAATTTAATGAATTTATGAAACTCTGAGAGACTGACTTTGATTTGGTGTTTCACATTCAGTTTGGGCCAGTTTGCCTCTGATTCAGAGGGTTGTGGATTCAAATTTCACTCCAGAACTTGAGCACTTATAATCCATCAGACTGAAAATGTGCTGCATTGCCTGAAATTGCTGACTTTTCGATGAGGATTTGTTTCTCTTAAGGTGATTTAAATAATCTAATGCCACTCTTCATGGTAGAACAGAAAGTTCTCATGACATAGGTAACATTTATTTCACACCAACAATAGAGAAATAAATAACTAATCATTTATCTCTGTTGTTTGGAGACCTCCCTATATGGAAAATTGCTTTGAGTGATAAGAATTCACAGGTAGTTCACATCTGTAAAGCAGCTTCAGGTGCCTTGAAAATGTGGAGGGGGCTACATAAGTGCAGATCTATTTGTTGCATGGCACTTATTCCTTTTGTTTAGAGCATTCAGTACATTGTCAAATGCCCCTTTTCACTGTTGAATTACTAAGTATGGATCAAAGTACAGTTATGCAGTGAACTAATAATCAAAATCACATTCAAGCAAAATGTTAAGATAATTGTCATCAGAAACTGATACTATAATAATTTTAGGAAATTAACATATACCAAACTATATGCTCTTCAAAAAATTAGCAAACTTTTAGCAAACTATATTAAACAAAAGTAATTTCCTAGAAGGATTGACAGTACAGAGGTTATTCCCTGCTTATTGGAATAAGAAAATATTTGTACTTCCTTTTTCAACACCATTAAAAGGGCAAACATCCATAAAATTACATCTGCTATATCTAGACAAAGAGTTTTTCATGCTAAAAGATTGAATCACAGTTAATGAGCAGCTCCCTAACAATGTTGTATCAAACAGTAGAAATGTGTGTGACATGTAGTAGGAAGCTCAACTTACCCCAGACAAGAAGAATGTATCTTAGAGGAACAAAATAAAGGATTATGGTGCCAGCAGAGAGAACAAAAACAGCCAACCAACTCAGGAAAGGAACTGTCCAGTTGAAGGTACTTTAATAGAAATAAGAAATAATAAAAGCAATTGGTTACATACAAGGAGTAACTGTAATTAAACATGACATTACTAAAACAGCGTTGTAAGAATTAAGGTGATAAAAGAGTTGGAAATTGTAGTCCCTCTGGGGCCAGAACCAGAGCCATTTGGGCAGATCGTGGTGGGCCAGTTTCTTGTCCCAATATATCAATCAGAAGGTAGTTCTTTAATGCATTGACACATGGAAGTAAAACAGGTACTTTTTAAACTGGGTGTAGGAAGAGAAATCAAGAGAAGGAAAGAAAGATTGGATTACTAGAAAGAAAATAGGACAGTTAAGAAAGATAAAGTTAACATTTTCAATTTGGGTGTTTTTAAAACTCATAAGACAATCCACAATATGATGGAATTCTGAAAATTGTTTACTTTCTGGGCAAGGGAGTCTGTGAGTCCCTAATAACTATTTTGGCTTGAAGGGTAATTATTGTGTTGATTACATACTTAATTTTCCATGGTGAAATTAAATGACAATTAATGTGCAAGTGTAGCAATTTTATGAAAATCACTAGAAGGTTCAGGGTGGGGTATCGTTTTTGTGATATTAACAATGGAGCAATGCAATTGGCCAGCAACTAGTGTTAATTCACATTGAGTGTACAGGTTGATATATGCATTAATAGCTGCCCATTGTTCAGACAGCATTATGTTTTCAACAAAATCTGTCCAGTGCATTGTTAAAATTTACACAATCATTATGCACTGTAAATATAATTGCATACATACCTTTTCATCATCCATAGCAGTTATAATTGCAATGTTTTCTCAGATAATCAAATTAATTAAAAGGCCGTATCTTCAAAATTACAAAAAAAAGCTCTAGAGAAATGATGTAAACTTTTTTAGACATAAAATATTTTAAGGCTCTGGATAAAGCATTAGGTGAACTGAAATAAATTAAGCTGTTTTTCAAATTGCATAAATATGTTATGTCTTTTTTAGAGCAAGTCTAGTAAGCTTTATGCATTTTTAATAAAATAGACAGCAATCTAATTTAGTTAATGTCCTGTTAACAATTATTGAATTATACTGTATCTATTTTTATATTCTTACCCGTGTTTCTTTTAAAAACATCTCTACATCGAAAGTAAAGGACAAATTTCACCTGTTATTTCAAAAGCCAGAAGCCATATATAGGAAAGATGAATTACAAGAGAATAGGAACTACAACTCCACCTTGTAGAGGCTGGAATGGCAACTAATGACAGTACACGATCGTTCATCATCCTTAATGGGTGCTTCATACCAAACATGCAGCATTCTGCACTTTGCTCATAAAGAAATATGAGAACCATCACAGAAACATACAAGTATACTGGTTTAGGACTCACTTTTTTACTCTTTCATAAAGGCTAGCAACCTCATTCAGACCATTCTGAACAGCTACACCCACTTCCTGGATGGCCGATAATTTATCCAACAGACCTTTCCTTTCATTTTCCTGAGGGAAAAGCAGAAAATAAATTATGCACTTAATTGTACTTAAATGCAACACATTTTATGAAGAAAAGATTTTTGTGATCATTGTGATTTTTTTTATGAAGAAATAAATCTTGAAAAGTAACATTTTTTGATTGGGTATTTGCTCATGAAATGTGATAGAATATTAGCAACCTTAAAATCAATTGTCAGAGGGTAAAATACATTCATTTCACACTGTCTCAAGCAATAAAATAACTGGCTTAATTCAGAACCTTGTGGGTCTAGTTTATATTGAAGTAATATTGGCTTCTCATTTTTTCTTATCAGTGTGGTTAAGGTACAATTGCCAAGCAACTGAGGTTTAGGTCAATACCTGAGGTATAGAGTGCAAATTTAAAATTGTGCAATTTCTCCCATATTGTGATATGCATTTGCTGGGAATCTGGGGAATACTATCCTTAAACTGCTTGCATTGATATGGCATATTCTGGCTATTTTAAAATATGTTTCTTTTAATTAAGACAAAGAAAATGTAAGTAAGTGATAGTTTATCCATATGCAGGGCACTTACCAAATCTTAACAAAATTACTTGAACATTCACAGTATTCCTTTCTTATTCCCTCTCATTCACAGAGAACTCTTTCCATTTCACAGGGACACAATATTCTTTTTACTTCAGCAATTGTGATAGACTCTGGGTTCTATCATGACAGCAAAGTTCCCATTATGCTGTGAGTTAAATGTTTCATTGCCCCCACTAAAAGTGAATTCACATTCTGATGATGTGCACACAACTGCAATAACATAATCAACACGCTGGCTCAGAGTTGCACCTCTGTCTCCATTCCCTCCCCCAACTCCACCTCCTATCAGGTATTCATCGTCCCTCCTAACCTTCCACTCTCTGATGCTGAACATTCTGAACTCAGCAAAGGCCTCAGCTTTATTCCTCTGTATCCCCACCTCAACGAATTTCATGCACAACATAACGTTGAGCTCTTCTTCCACCATCTTCGCCTCCATGCCCAATCTTTGGACAAGATTCCTCTTCCCGTCCCAGAGACGCCTTCGTCCAGTTCCATCACAGTCCCTCCACCTGGACCCCTCCCTCTGGCCTTTTACTGCACTCGATCTGTCATTGAGAACTGTCGACATGAAATTGGTCGCCTCAATTTCTCTGTGCA